AGCGCTCCCAGAGTGACCCTTTGCAGGCGGCGGTGGCGTGGAAAGCCAAGAGGCAGGAGTGGGTGGAACGTGCTGCCAGAGTTGTCATCCAGCAGCACCGTGCCGATGAGATGTGACCGCCACCTCCTGCTTCTCAGGGTGACACCGGGCACCCTGCTGCGCAGGGACAAACAGCTGCATTAACAGATAATCTATCAAAGCAGATTCTTCTGAATCCTCTCCCGATTGCTGGCAGCTCAGAGGGTTTACCAGGGAGGAATCGTTCTAGGGTTGACATCTTCTGATCCGCTGCTCTGTGTATCTATAGCAGGACTCTATCTGAGATGGGGTAGGAAACAGTGGGAACTTTGCTACGGCTGCTGACGTGGCCTGCAGCCCAGAGTGTGTCCCGTGGCTCTCAGGGATGGGCTGTGGCATGGAGGGTGAAGGTGGTCAGGCCTAAGGTGCCTGTATGTGGTCTGACTGGAAGCAGTTGGAGATGGAGGCTGCTGCCCTGCTTCTTCCCTGCCCAGGTGGAGGTGTGCTGCCCTGTCCCTGCCCAGGTGGAGGTGAACAGGCTGGATACTGCACTTTTTACTGTGTCTGGTGGCTGCAGGCATCTGTCCCTTGTCTCTTCCCCTTAATCCTGCAGTTTTGCCTGATTTCTAGGTGTGAGATAGTGAGCTGACCTTCAGTGCCCTCACAGGGAGCGGTCCTGCCATTGCAACAGACCCTACTTGTTGCCTGTTCCTGCTAGCTTTTGAGCCACGGGCACAGCCCTAGGCCTGGCTAGAGAAGGTAATGTGGAGTCCTTCCCAAGCTGTGTGTGCCGTTTCCCTTCTGTAGGGGCTGAGCCTTTCATCTCCCACAGCCCTGGGAGCGGGGCTTCTGGCCCTCAGGAAGAAGGCATGCCTCGAACTGGACTGCTGAGGGGGCGTGGAGCAGAGAGCAGCAGAGCTGCTTGCTCTTCTGAAGGCTTTCCTGGCCACAGGACAATTTCAAAGCTGTGTCCTCGTGTGCCCAAGATCTGCCGTGCTGTCCAGTGATGCAGTCAGCTGGCTCTGGTGGCTCCCCAGGGCTGAGCAGAAACACTTTGAGCTGATGAGCGGTGTCTTTCCTGCAGTGCAGCTTAGTGGTACCTGTTGAGCATCTCCTCGCCCTACTTCAGGACATTTCATAGAATCATATAGAATGGTTTGGGTTGGAAGGGACCTTTGAAGGTCATCTAGTCCAACCGCACTGCAATGAGCAGGGACATCTTCAACTACATCAGGATAATAATAATAATTTCCTTATTAATAAACACTGTAATACTGTGTAAATAAATACTAATGATGTGTGACTGTGTCTGGTGGGTTCGGTGAGGGACTGGGCTGTGGGGTGGAGGCTAGGGGCTGCACCAGGGGCTGGGAGCGTTGTGGGAGGAACCCAGGGGAGGCTGGGTGGTGATCACTGTCGCAGCCTAACGAAGGGGAATGCGCGCTGCCTTCCCTTCCCTTCCCGTGGCTGTGGCTGTGCAGAGGGGCTTGCTGAGGCACGGTGCAAGGTTGCAGGGGAGTCGGCTGTGCTATCACCTCCCTTCAAGGGTGCGAAATCACTCGAACCGCTTTTGGAGACAAGTGGATCTTGTGAGCACCCAGCACCCACGTGTGACCTGCGTGCACCCAAGCTGCCGGCGCTGCGGAAGCGAGCAGCTTCCCCAGTAGGAAGCACGAGGAGCCGGTGTCTTTCCCCACTGCTGCTTTCGTAAGGGGAGCTGCACAATCGCAGGAAGCCGAGCAGAGCCAGGGTGGTGCAACAGCCCTGTCCCCTGGGCTGGGGGCCATGGCAGGGGCCCTGCCTGCTGGGTGGTTGCTAAATCAGGGCTGGGCCCTGGGTTTGGTTGGGATCACTGGGTCCTCGGGAGGCACTAGCAGACCCTGAGCCCAGGCTGTGGAGCCCAGCGTGGGGCTTGGGGGTGCGAGAGCCCAGCGAGGCGATGGGTGCCGGCAGCACTGCGCGTGCAACCCACCTGGGAAGCAAAGGGTGTGCGTGCAGGCGAACGAGATGATACAAAATTGGATGTTGTGTCTTTGCCTGGGGAGGAGAGACAGTCAAGGGGTGGCTCACCCACGGGCCCTGTCTCAGGACAGGCAGCGGAATGCTCGTAACAGGATCAGGTTGCAGCTCTGCCCTGGCCTGTGAGCATCCCCAGGGAACCGCTGGAGCTTTTTCCCCAGGAGCTGTGCATGATGGCGGGAAGGTCTAGGACCCTGTCCCCTCTTTCATTTCATTTTTTGCAGTTCAGGGCCAGGATGCGTAATGCCACTGATGTCACCTGGAGTCCCTGGCCCAACGCTAATCGATACTGTATGAGTCATCTGAAATAAAACACGGTGGCGTTGCCAGCAAAGCAGGGAGTGGCCACCAGAGCCAGTGTTTGGCCAGGGGCGATGGGGTCAGCACCCCGCTCTGCAGCAGTCTGGATTGCTTGGCCAAATGTCAGGAAGGGAGATAGCTCTGGGAGAGTGGGCAGGGAGCCAGGCAAGCGCAGCAGGCTCCTCATCAAACGCAGCCGAACACACGCTCCTGCTACCAGACTCTGCCTGCACCAGCCAGCACAGCCCTTCCGTGCAGAAAGCTTGCGGCAGAAGGTGGGATATCGCAGAGCCCAGAGCTGGTCTCCGTACTGCACTGGGGATGTGTCTGCGCTGGGAGTTTTGGGGACGGTTGCTCCGTGGTCTCAGCCTGTGCTGCCCCAGGGCTCCTATTTTTCATCGCTTTCTGTGTTCTCGTGCAGTCCCACAGTGGTCAGCTCTGAGACGGCAAGAGGAAGGAAGCCTAGCCTGGGCCTCACACCTTGGGTTAAAGGGCAGTGATGACAAAAATGCCCGGAATGAGTCCTTTGGCCGAGGAGGCTTGCACCTTGTTTCCATCAGGCAGAGGAATAGGAGGAGCCTGGTATTTCTACCACCCTCCTCCTCCTCCTTGCTGCAGACCCTCCAGGACATCTATTTCCCTTGCACGCTGCAGGGATCAGAGTGCAGGCTGCGTGTGCATCGGCGCTGCTTGCACACACACACAGCCCCGCACTCTGCCTTAGGTCGGTGTTACAGTCCCTGCTTGCCCTCCCTGCCGTGTTCCCTCTGCTATTCCCACGGTCGACCCGTATCCCATGCGTGTCCCGGTAGGTGCCTGCATCAGCATCATGGGAGCACACCGACAGACCAGAAACATGAGCCTTTCAGGGCAAAATATTCTGCTCAGCCCTTGGCAAGTCCTGTATGGGTGTTGCTGAATGGAAACCCTCTCTTTTTGCTTGGTGACTCCCCGAGTGTCAGTAGTGCCATCTCCTTTCCACGGTAGTGACATATGGAAAGTTATGAAAGCATGAAGTGAAATTTGCTTCCCATTGCCGAGGAGGGCCTGGGCTGTGTGGCCAGTACAAAACTCCTCCTGCTCATGGCTTTAAAGGAATCAGGTTTTCCTTTTTTTTTTTAAAGGAATCAGGATTTCTTGGAGAGGTGGGAATTTTAGTCAGCAGCAGAAGTAAGACATACCCTCCTTTTCAAGGGAAACCTAAATGCCATGTCAGCATCTGTCCTATTTTTATCCACTAGCACCAGCTGCTGGATATCGGTGGAAACAGAAAAACTAGCAGAAATCTGAGCATCCGGTTAAAAAAGCAGCTGGAAATACAGCGATGGAGCCACCGCCTTCCCCCAGCTCCCAAAACCGGGCACCTCAGCCCCGGGGCTGCTGAATCCCCAAGGGAGCCAGTCATGTAGGGACTGCTTTGGCAAGGTGTCTGAGGCAGAAAGCAGAGAGGTCAGGCTGTGGTGCTCTAAAAGACACCCCAGCCGGTGCCAGATGTGTCCTTCCCCTCTTCCCTTTCCCTGGCTACACCCTGTGTAGCAGGGGCTTGGCTGGAGACCCCGGCATGTGCATTGCTCAGGGGACACGGCCGCGCTGAGGGGTCTCTCTTGGGACGGGCTGCTTGGGAGCTTTCCCCACCCCTGGGGCTGTTGGCAGCCGGCCGCTGCAGCGCATCCGCCGGGGCTGGGAACGGGAGGCTCCCGGCTCTGCAAAAGACATTTGTAGCCACCCTGTGTATTCGGGCGCCTGAGAAACTTCCTCTGCTCCACTCACATGGGGAGGGCTCTGCCTGGACCCTGCCCTGCAGCCCTGGGACACGCTGCCCACAGCATCCCACTGAGGCTGTGCCTCATCCTGCTGCCTGGTCACTTGTTGGTTTGCCTCACACCCCTGGGGACATTTGGGAGGGACCCCGAAGGACAAGTTACCCACAGCACAGCAGCAGGTTTGCAGGTGCAGCACTGCTGCACACTGACAGGGAGAGGACATGGGACAGCCCCCATCCCCGGGGACCCTGCTGCCCTCGGCGATGCTGCACAAAGCCTCCCCATGGGAGGGAGGCTGCGGAGCAAAACAAACCCTGCGGGTTTAAGGCAGGGCAGAAACCAGAGCCAAGCCCTGCATTCCCACAGAAACCCTTTATTTTGCACCTGGTGCCCAGCCTTCACGCTGCGCTGAATTTGCCTGGGAAAGCATGAACCTGTGGGCTGAGAGCTGCTGAAATGCGGTACGTCAGCACAGGCAGAGCCTGGCTGGGGGAAGCACTGTCTCCTTGCGGTCCTGGGCCTCTTGGATTTCCCCGCTTGCTGTTATTTTATCCGAGTGAAAATGCTGACGCCAATCCTGCAAGAACCCCAAATCACCGTGGTTCACACAGCTGGGGTCACCTGTGCTGTGGTGGAGGGTACAGAGGGGGAACCCAAGCGGGGGCACTGTGTTCCCCAGTGCCTCACTGCCTCGCTGGGTGCTGAGTGGGATGCCCCAGGCTCCAACACCCTGTAGCGGAGGCTGCACCAGGTGCTGGCATCGTGTCCTGCTCTCTCCCTGTTGGGGAGAGTGCAAGGAGAGTCCCGAGGGGGTCTGACTAGGGCCAGGCCCCATTCTGGGGTCACCCACCCTGGGGCGCACCTGGGATGCAGGGGCTGGCCAAGTCACAGGGGTGCTCCTTAGCCCCTGCTCGTCACCGGTGACAAACCCATTTCACCCTCCCGGTCCTGCCATGCCTCATCCTGTGGCACCTCTCCCTTCTCCAGCCTGGGGTACAGGAAAGCTTGGCACAGCAGTGGCTGGGG